GGGAGCACCCTCACACCACCGATGGGGAGCACCCTCACACCACCGATTGGGAGCACCCTCACACCACCGGTGGGGGGCACCCTCACACCACCGATGGGGGGTGGTTCCCCATCACAGGCAGTATATCCAAGTTACAGGATCCAAGCATTTACCAAGCATTTGAGAAAGTCACAAATGCAACAAGGCTTGGCTCACCCAGAGGTATTGGCTAACATCTCCCTGATCCCTAGGAATGAGCTCCAGGGACACCTGAGACACAGGTATGCTGGGGAGACCTCTGAGAATTTCACCTTGCTGGGCTCCTTGAGATCTTAAGTGTTGCTGAGTGTTATGGGTCCTGTAACCAGTCTGGAGCACCCTGTTTCAACAGAGAAAGGAAGAGGAGGAAGAGAGGAAGAAAGAAAACAGCCATTGAGGAAAAAAAAAAAGCAAAGATAACCACAGGCTAACCCATAGGGAAGAAGATGGAGGAACCAGGATTTTGTTGACACCATCAAAAGAAGGCCAATTCTGGGTCACCAAGATGGCTCAGTAGGTAAGGACGCTTGCTGACAAGGCTGAAGAACAAAGTTCAGTCCCCAACATCCACGCAGTGAAAGGAGAGAACCAACCCCTAGTTGTCTTCTGATCTCCCTGCTGGAACCGTGGTGTGTGCCTGCCCCCAGATTAAACTGTTTAAAATAATTTAAGTGACTCTAATCCGTGACTGTGTTTATTTATAGACTCCTCTTATAGTTTTCTTTCTTTCATTCTTTCTGATCGGCTCTAAATCTTGATTTCTGACCAAAGGAATGGGTGAGGGGTCTGGGGAGATGTCTCAGCAGTCAAGAGTACAAGTCCTGCAGAGCACAAGAATTTGCTCCCAGCGCCTGCCTGCCTGTAACCGCAGCTCCTGATGGCCTGACTGACTTCCTTTTCCAGCCTCTGTGGGCACACACACACACACACACACACACGCACGCGCACACACACGGGCACATACACACATACACAGAGACATAAATAAAAATAAAATAAGTCTTTATAATAAAAGGAGGATGGGATAGTAATTTTGTCTCTGGAATCTGTTTACCTGCCCTTGAAAGTTCATCTGGCTGCCAGAGGCCATGTTGGTTCATGGTCCATACTGCCTCCAACTGCTGTGGGCAAGGACGCTTTCTTTACAGTGGTATCCATGACAGCAGACTCAAAACTGAGAATGAGAAACATTGAAGCCTTCCGTGACAACCTCTCCCCACCTTGCCCCCCAACCCCGAAAAGAAATAGTCCAGAGAAGAAGCTATTGAAAAGAGCTCTTAAAAATCACGACAAAGGCCAGGCAATGGTGGCACATGCCTTTGATCCCAGCACTTGGGAGGCAGAGGCAGGTGGATTTCTGAGTTCGAGGCCAGCCTGGTCTACAGAGTGAGTTCCAGGACAGTCAGGGGTATACAGAGAAACTCTGTCTCGAAAAACAAACAAACAAACAAACAAACAAACAAAAATCATGACAAAGGTTTCAGGGATCCAGAGGGATTAGGAACTCCACACGAAGACCAACAGAAACAACTAACTTGGACCCTTGGGGACTCCCAGAGACTGATCCAACAACCACAGAGCATACACAGGCTGGACCAAGGCCCCTGCATATACATAACAGTTGTGCGGCTTGGTCTTCATGTGGGTCCCTCAGCAACTGAAGTGGAGGCACACCCTGACTGTGTTGCCGCCTGTGAGTTCTGCTCCCCTAATTGGGCTGTCTTGTCTGGTACCAATGGCAGAAGATGTACTTGAGATGCCAGGGTGGGTTGGTTCCCTGGGAGGGACTGCTCCCTTCTGAGAGGTGAAGGGGAAGGGTACAAAGAAGGGTCTGTGAGGGGAGACTGAGAGAGGGGGGGCTGTGATTAGGATGTAAAGTGAATTAATTAATTAATTAATTAATGAAAAATTGTGATAAAAATGCTGAAGTGTAGTTCTTCACAGTTGATGGCTTTTGCTGGGCTGGGCTGGGCTGGGCTGGGCTGGGCTGGGGCAGGTTAGGGTGGGGGAGGATTCAGTTTTCTTAAGGGACTGGCCGTTGGGAGTTTGACCATGCTCCATAAATTGGACTTGGTGTCTTTGGGGGGGGGGGGGAAGGACGCACGGGTGGAAGGGTGACCTGGGAGGAATGGGAAGTGAGTGTGATCAGGTGCACTGTATGAGATCCCCAAATAATTTATAAAAGGATTATTACCTTGGGAGTTCATCTAAATGAGGAAGGTGTGGTAGCAAAAACCTTTGATCCAGGTATGAGGAAGGCAGGGGATCTCTGTGAGTTCAAAGCCAGCCTGGTTTACACAGGGAGTTCCAGGACAGTCAGGGCTACACAGCCCTGTCACAAAATTAAGTTTATCCAAATGGGGCCAACCCCTGGTGGTGGCGATAAATAAATAAATAAATATCACCTGAGCGTGTAGGTTGACATTTGACTTTCTGTCTCCTTTGCAACAGTCTCCTTGGTCACTGTCAGCCGTCACCCTGGAGACAGCCTCTTGTCAGATTGAGGAGGCCAAAAGGTGCGGCAATGGTAACTTTTCCCACCCTTCCAAATGTGCCGCATGCCTGCCTTCTACGTCTTTTTCTCTCAGAGCCCAGATGTCTTCCCTAAGCTCACTTCTGCTCCCCACTTCACTCTGCACCCGAGCGTCCGTGCAGCTGAGCACTCTTGCTAGAATCTGTACAAACCACCCTCGGTCGAAAGGGTTTCGCCTCCGTGTTGTTTATGAGAACATTACACACGTTACTCCACAGACAAGAGGCCTAGAGGGGGAAAGCCCCCGTTTCTTTTCCATTACAGACTCCATCCAGCCCGGCCCTCACTAGTGCTCAGGGTTAGAGCACTCGCCAGCATGCTGGGTTAGTGCAGGGCTGGGGACTGAACCCTGTGCCTTGTGCCTGCTAGCCAAGCACCCGATTGACAAGACAAGGTTTCACATAACACAAGGCTGGCCTGAAACTCAGCGTGTAGCCCCAGCTAGCCTTCAAATTTGCCATCCTTCTGCCTCCACTTTCACAGTGGTGGGATCACAGGCATGCAGCACCACCCCAGATGCTTTAGCCTATTTATAACTTCCAGGCTATAAGTGTGGAGCACCACCCCCATGCTGTTGGGAACACCACCATACTGCTGGGAACACTTCCTAACTTACACTGGGCTATATTCCTCTTCTCCCTCACCCTAGCTACAGTGGGTTTCTAGCGCTTGCAGGCAAATGAATTTTAACCCAATTAATCCATCAAAACTCTCCTCTGAATAACAGCTGTGACTTTCTTCCCTAAAGCTTCCCACCCCAACAATTCCGTTGCCGGGTGTAGAACCACAGGCGGGGGTGGCGAGTGAGCTACAGGCACGACCTCCACGGACATCCTTAGAAACACACTCACAATCTCAGCATGGCGGCAGAAGCCTGAAATCACTGTGCCCTGAAGACAGAGGCAGGAGGATGGTGAGTTCGAGGCCAGCCTGGGCTACGGAGAATGAGAAGTGTTTCAAAATAAGATAAATAAGAGGCTAAGGTGGTAGCTCAGTTTGTAAAGTGCTTGTTGCACACGATGAGTATCTGTTGCCTGGCTCCCCAGCACCCGTGTAAAAAGCTAAGTGTGGCCCACATCAGTAACACAGTCCCAACAGGGTGAAAGACACAGGAAGGATCCCTGGGGCTTCCAGATTATTTGAGAGACCCTGTCCCAGAAGAATAAAATGTAGGCCTAGGAAGATGGCTCAGTGTATAAGAGCTTGTCACAGCCTGCCTGACACCCGCGTTCAACCCTTGGAACCCACCACTGAAGGAAAGAACCAACTTTTGAAAGTTGACCTCTAGGCCGGACAGTGGTGGCGCACGCCTTTGATCTCAGCACTTGGGAGGCAGAGGCAGGCGGATTTCTGAGTTCCAGGCCAGCCTGGTCTACAGAGTGAGTTCCAGGACAGCCAGGGCTACACAGACAAACCCTGTCTCGAAAAATCAAAAAAAAAGAAGAAGGAGAAGAAGAAGGAGAAGAGAAGGAGGAGGAGGAGGAGGAGGAGGAGGAGGGAGAGAAAGAAAAAAGAAAGAAAAGAAAAAAGTCAGGACAAAAACTCAAACAGGGCAGGAGCCGATGCACAGACAGACCATGGAGGGGTGCTGCTTACTGGCTTGCTCCTCATGGCCTGCTCAGCCTGCTTTCTTATAGAACCTAGGACCACCAGCCCAGGGACCGCACTGCCCACCGTGGGCTGGGCCCTCCCTCTTCAATCACTAACTGAGAAAATGCCCTACAGCTGGACCTCATGGAGGCATTTTTCTCAACAGAGGCTCCTTCGTCCCGATGACTCTAAGTTGTGTCAAGTTAACACAAAACCAGCCAGTACACACATAAAATAAAAATAAATCATAAATCTAAAATAATAACAATAGCTGAGAGGTTACTGGTGTCTGCGTTGGGGCCTTTTACTCAAGAGGCAGAGGCAGGTGGTTCTCTGTGAGTTCCAGACCAGCCTGAATATGGGTAAGTAAGTCGTAGACGAGGAGGATGCTGATCTCCCCTGAGGAGAGGGGCTCGCTAACGGGGAACAGCTGAATGGCGATTGCCACGGAGCCCGGGTGGCGAACAGTTGTGCTGAAGACGGACTCTGCTTCCGATTCTGTCTCTGCATTCATCCTCCGGTTTCAAATCCTGCGAAGGTCAGAGCCACAGCGGAGAGACTGGAGAACTTTCCCTAGCGACCGCGTTAGGAAGGAAAGGCTGCCTGGGGCGGAAGAGGGGCGGGGCGGGTCTCGGGGATGAGGGCAGGGGAGGTGCTGGTGGGGGGGTGCACCAGGGGGTTGGCAGCCACGTTGGGGACGGGCGGCCTAGCTCCGCGGCCCTGGGCCGGATTCACCCAGGCTGGGACGTTGCCCGGTGCCCCCGGGATCCTGAGCATAGGAGAAGGCGATCCACTCGGATCCCACGTCACGGCTCTCCGCGGACCCGGGGTTACTCTCCGACTGCCTCCAGGCGCCGGGGCCAGGGATTGGATCTTCCCCGCTGCCTCAGAGCAGGCCGCCCGGTGAGCTCCGGGACAGGTACGGACCCGGGATGGGACTCGAGGGTCGTGTCCACACCAGCAGCTGTAGCAATCCGGAGAATGGAGGCGTCTCTCCGCTGGCCCTGTCCCAACCCGCGCCCTGACCCCACCCCTACCCCCCCCCCCCCCCACACACACACACGCAGGAGCCCCTACATCTTTTCCCAGACTCTTCCAGTAAGCAGTGCTCTCTTACACGCGCAAGTTGCAAAGCTACAAGTCCACTGAAAAGGCCTTACTTTTCGTGCGTGTGTGTGTGTGTGTGTGTGTGTGTGTGTGTGTTTAGTTTTTCTTTTCTTTTATAGCTCTGACTGGCCTTGGTGTGTAGGCCAATCTGGCCTTGAACTCAGAGATCTTCTGTCTCTTCTTCAGTGCTCACCCCACTCTACTATTTGTCTTCATTAATATTTAAGATAGCATTCAAAGTCATGGGTTTCATGTCCCAGTTTCCAAGTTTCATACATACTTCGTTTTTATGGAACCTGGTGGCCAAGCAGGGAAAAGTGCCCGCCGCCAAGCCTCATGGTGATTCTTAAGACTCAGACTTAACAGCGAGAACGGACTCCCCCGTGTTGTCCTCTGACCTCCACACGCTAGCACACTCACACATCAAACACATGTGCAGCGATAACATCTAATTTTTATTTAAACTCAATTTAAAAAAATAAGAAAGAAAGCAACGGTTCTTCCAACACCTACGCTCTCCGCTTTATCCATGCCACCCCAAAATAGCCAACCAAAAAGGAAAAACAAAATAGCTTTCGCAGACCAACATGTGTTCTCACAGTAGGCCCGGCGGCCGCGGCTGGATCACTCCGGCTGGCAGCTCCTTTACAGAATGAGAACTTCAGAGTCTCAGGCTGTGTCCTGATTTAGCTACATTGATGCGTCTCAGCTGTGTTTACTCTTCTCAGTGTAACATTTGTTCTTCTGAGGTTAGGCCTTTCATTGCTTTTATTGCACTCCCTGTCCTGGAAATAGAAAGAACACAAATCTGATTTTAGTGTTTTGTTTTTCACCAGTAGCCCTGGCGGTCCTGCAACGCGTTCTGTATAGACCAAGCTGGCCTCGAACTCAGAGATCCACCTGCCTCTGCACAAATCTGATGTTAAGCAATCACCGTGTGCTGATTAGTTTTGCGTCGAACTGACACAAGCTAAAATCACTTGGGAAAAGGATACCCCCATCAGTTTGGCCGGTAGTACATTTTCTTAATTAATGATTGAGTGTGAGAGAGCCCAGTCCTTTCTTTTGGGTGGGGCCACCCCTGGCAAACACAGGGACCTGAGTTCAGATCCCCAATACCCACAGAAAAAGCTGGAGCAAGATGAGCATGCTGGTAAACCCAGCACTGGGAAGGCTGAGAGGAGGCGGGGCTGGATGTCTCTGGAGCTAACTAACTATCCACGTTAGCCTCATCCCTGAGCTCCAGCCGAAAACAGCTGGAGAGTGTGAGGAAATGCATGAGTTCCAGGACAGCCAGGGCTACACAGATGTGGCAGGAGAGCCGTGGAGGGGTGGGGAGAGTGGGCTGGGGTGATTTATTTTATTTTTATGTCTGTGTATGTATGTTAGGGATACACTCCCATGGAGGTGCTCATGGAAACCTAAAGCATGTACCGGGTCCCCTGAAGTTGGCGAGCTGCTGAATGTGGGAGCTGGGAACTGAACTCGGGTCCTCGGTGGGAGCAGCGAGAGCGCTTAAGCACGGAGCTGACTCCCCGGCTCCACTTCCAGATCTTTTAGACAAATTCTTATATTGTTATCGCTCAACTTTTAGACAGTGTAACCACTGAACCCGTGGATGAAACAGGAAACAGCCGTCTCAGGTCCACAATCTCTACCCTTCCCTATAAACAGAACATCACTGCTAGCTTCTTTCCTCCTACTTTACTAATTTTTAAAAATTGTATTTCTGAACTGGAGGAGTGAGTCAGAAGTAGAGCCCCTGCCTAGAATCCCCTAGTGAGGGGCTGGGGGCGTGGCTCAGTGGTAGAGCCCCTGCCTAGAATCCCCCAGTGAGGGGCTGGGGGCGTGGCTCAGTGGTAGAGTGTTAGTCTAGAATTAGGGAGAACCTAGGTTCAAACCTCAGCATAGCAAGAATCAATAAAACAAATAGAGGGGGTCCCTTTTACTAGAACAGTGTGTCACCATACTCAGCTAAACTTTTCTAAATGAATATAATTTAAAGTTTTGGAAAAGGGTTGGGTGGATACTGATATGTGCATGTGCATGCACTGTACGCCCGCCCACTCGTGCGCGCGCGCACACACACACACAAACACACACACACACTAATGTATTTTTTAAGTAGGAAAACCAAAGTACGATAAAATAGAAATGAAGCAGTATAGAATGGGTCCAGTGGTCCGGACCCTGGAGACCTGTGCAGTAGATTTCACATCCTAACTATTGAGTGACATAGTGGGAGGTCTCTGCCCAAACCATATCAAAGTGCAGTCACTGTGCCAGACGCCACATAAGCAGTCGGGGAAGCCAGTAAATCACAAATCTCTGAAAGAGGTCCACCGGAGTCAGCGGTATAGAAAGTCCTTTCTGTTTCCTGCAGAAGGAAAGCAGATGCAACCGGATTTTAGCTGGTCAGTTTTTCGCTCCGGTGCTGTGTTGGCCCCTTACAAAGCCTGCCAAACACATGTTGCCTTGTGTTTTGAATCCGCCATCAAAACTCAACAGATCGGAGACCAGGTATGGTGGTGGTGTGTGCCTAGCATGCTGGAGGTTAGGGCAGGAGGGTCATGAGTTCAAGGTCAGCCTCAGTACACAGTAAGATCTTGTCTCAAAATGAAAATAGAACCAGGCTTGGTAGTATACATCTTTAATCCCAGTACTGGGGAGGCAGAGGCAGGTAAGTCTCTGAGAGTCCGAGGCCAGCCTGATTACACAGTGAGTTCCAGGACAGCCAGGGCTTCACAGAGAATGCTGTCTCATACCCACCCACGGCCACAAAATACTACCCATTCAATCTGTGAGTTTCCCATGACTCTGTGCTCTGCCCTTGCTTTACAGGTTACTTGCTTAAGGGAGGCGAGCATATCTTCTGCCCTTCCAAACCTCAGTTTCCCCTTGGTGAAAAACAGCATCTACCTCATGGGGTTGTCGGGCTCCGTGAGAATTTCCTAACACTTCCCAGAAACCTGGAGCAAAGTACATGTACAGTCACCACATCTGGTAAAGGACATTCACTGTGTTCTCTGGACACAGTGCTGAAGTGTGTGTGTGTGTGTTACATGGCTCTTCTATTCTCCTAGTAAAGACATTCTCTTAACTACAGCAGCCTCTTCAGCTCTGAAGACTGTTAACTGTTCTTCGGTCCTGTCTGATATCTATTTTTTTCTTCTTCCCTCCCTCTCTCCCTCCCTTCTCCCTCCTTCCTTCCTTCCTTCCTTCCTTCCTTCCTTCCTTCCTTCCTTCCTTCCTGGCCATATTGCAGGTTACCTAGGGCCTGGGAAGCAAACACTGTCCTGCGCTCCAGCCCCAGTGTCCACTCTTGGTTTTCGGTGCCGTTGTTATTTAAGACTTGGTTTCAGGCAGCCCAGGCCTCACATTTGCTTTGTAGCCAAGGATGTCTTTGAACTTCTGACCCTCCTATCCTAGCTCTGGGTGCTGGGGTGACAGATGTGCTCTTCCATGCCTGGTTTATGCAGTGCTGGAGACCAATCCCAGAGCTCTGTGAGTGCTGGACAAGTGTCCATCAACTCTACAGCCCAGCCTTCTTTTCTTAGTTACTTTCTTTCTTCCTATGTATCTTTTCTCCGCGCCCCCCCCTCACTTGGTCACGTGGTAACCTGGATTATTTTTTTTTTTTTGAACCAAGTTTATTCTCTGTCCTTTTTAAATTCAGCCAGAGGCCCACTGGGCTGTGAGACGGCCCTCTGTGTCAGCTCTGTTCCCCACACAGGTCTCTACCCCCATTCCTCCCATCCTGCATCCAGGCCGCCATATGAAGCCCACCTTCTGGCACTCAGCATAATCATAGTAAGGCCTTCACAACTGCAGCGAGCCATTTGCCAAGGGCCCTGAACGCGTTTGCCTCCACAGCTGTTACCCTTAGCAAGTATTCGACAACACAGACTCCAGCACACCCGTGGCCTGGAGCCAGACGCTTTAGGAGTCCAGACATTTTTTTATTTTAAGAGTGTATATATTTATTATGAGACAGGCTGGCCTCTACCTCTAACCAAAGACGCCCTTGAGTGCGTGATCTTCCTCCCTTTACCTCTTACGTCAGAGGCTCTCAACCTCTAGGTTGCCACCCCCTTGGGAGTCACATATCACATAGTTACACTATGATTCACGACAGTAGCAAAATTATACTTATGAAGTAGCAATGAAATAATCTTACGGTGGCGGGACCCACAACCTAAGGTACTGTAGTAAAGGGTCACAGCGTTTGGAAGACTGAGACCCACTGCTCTAGAGTGGCGGGACTGCAGGGGTGAGTGAGCTTCCACATCCAGCTCTAATAACCTAAATTCATGTTTCGTTTTGTTTTGTTGTTTTGAGACAGGGTTTTTCTGTGTAGCCCTGGCTATCCTGGAACTCACTCTGTAGACCAGGCTGGCCTCGAACTCAGAAATCCGCCTGCCTCTGCCTCCCAAGTGCTGGGATTAAAGGTGTGCGGCACCACCGCCCGGCTAAATTCATCTTTTTAAATGGCTTTTTTTGGGGGGGCATTTATTTATTTACTTATTGTGGGAGTGTATTAGTTGCTTTTCAGTTATGATAAGCAACTGAAGGAAGAAAGGGTTCATTTTAGCGCCGGGTGCCAGCGGGAGAGCTATGCTGCGGCGTGGCAACAGGAAGATGGCAGAAAGCCGGCTGGTCATATTTCATTCACATAATAAGAAAAGAGAACAGGAGGTGAGAAAAAACTATAAAACCTCAAAGCCCACCCACTGTGAGGCACTTCTTCGAGCAAGCCTACACCTTCTAAAGGTTCCTTGGGGCTGGAGAATTATCCAAGCTGTTTAGAGCACCCACCGGTGTCTCCTCTAGAGAACCCGGGTTCAACTTCAGTACCCACATGGCAGCTCACAACTATCTATGATTCCAGTCCTGGGGTCACATTGCCCTCCTGTGGCCTCCACAGGTACTACATATTCATGCATGCAGGGATATCCATATACCTAAAATAAAATTTAAAAATTCATGTTTCCAGCCAGGTGGTGGCGGCTCATGCCTTTAATCCCAGCACTCGGGAGGCAGAGGCAGATGGATCTCTGAGGTGGAGGGCAGCCTGGTCTACAGAGTGAGTTCCAGGACAACCAGGGCTACACAGAGAAACCCTGTCTTGAAAAAAAAAAAGTAGAATAAAGTTATTTCCAATTGTTTCAGCACCATTTTTAGAAAAGGTAATCTTTGCCCAGTATTGGCCCGTGTGAGAATGCCTAATACTGCCAAGATGGAGGACTCCGTGTCTTGTTTTGGCTTTGTTTCTGTGAGAACCAAAACTCGTTTTATTCCTTTCTCTTGTAGTTTATGAAACAAACAAACAAAAAACCCACAGTCATGGTTTTGATTTTCTTACTTCAATCAAAATTCTTGGGAGGCTGGGGGTGTGGCTAGAGTCTGTGGTCTAGCTTTCCTAGCAGGTGAAAGTCCCAGGCTGGATCCCCAGCACAGCAAAGCACACAGAAACTTCCAAGGTGGAGAGGTGTGGTAATGTTCCTGCTTGTTGAGTTGTTGGGGGATGTTAGACAGGGCAAGACTGATCCCATAGGTTTCATAGCTACCAACTGCAAGGCCACTCGGAAACACACATACACACACACACATTTCCATAGTCAATATATGGGGAAGGAAAGCCTTCTGGAATCTTCCCTGGCTATAAACAGGCAGACAATGGTGAATGGAAAGTTCAGGGGGGGGGGGAGTACCATCCTAGGAAGTCCTAGGTTGGTACTGAGTTGAGTGGAACTCTAAGCAAGATGCTGCAGTGCTCAGAGTTTGAAACAAAGTTTCCAGATACATTATAGAGTCCTGTGCGCTGAGATGCATCTTAAATACCGAGTTCCCAGTGTATGCAGGAGCTCCAGGCCAGCCAGGGATATGAAAACATTAAAGAATAACTGCCGGGCGGTGGTGGCGCACGCCTTTAATCCCAGCACTTGGGAGGCAGAGACAGGCGGATTTCTGAGTTCGAGGCCAGCCTGGTCTACAGAGTGAGTTCCAGGACAGCCAGGACTATGCAGAGAAACCCTGTCTCGAAAAACCAAAAAAAAAAAAAAAAAAAAAAAAAAAAAAAAAAAAAAAAACATTAAAGAATGCAGAATTAGCCAGGCTTAGTGGCACATGCCTTTAATCCCAGCACTTGGGAGGCTAGGTAAGTTCTAGGCCAGCCTGGTCTACAAATCAAATTTAGGACAGCCAGGGCTGATACACAGAAAAACTCTGTCTGGGGAAAAAAAATGCAGAATGGAACCAGAGAGAGGGCTCATCAGGTAAAGAACCCGTGTGCTGGAGACATCAGACTCCCCCAGTTGTCATGTGACCTCCACACCTGCACACTACGGCATGCACAGTAAATATTTTTTAATACAGAATGCTTTTCTGTTAGTTTGGCCTGCAGCTGTTAACTGATTAAATTCACTTATTTCTCCTCCCCTTCATTCTGTGGTCCTTGTAAATAAACTTACAGCCATCTTAAATTTCCTTTTATACTAATAGATTTAATTTCTCTCTATTTCCTATGGTGCCTTGCATGAATCACGGTTATGGCCATGCTGAGCTAACACTCTACCTCTGAGCCATCCCCTAGCCCCTCACTGGTGGGCTCACACAATTTATTTTTTAACTAAGTTTTATGTAAGTTTAATTTTAAGTGTAAATGTGTTTAGCTTGCATGTATGTCTGTGCACCACACGAGTACAGTACCTGTATAGGCCAGAAGAGGGCATCAGATCCCCTGGAAATGGAGTTACAGGTGGTTGTGAATTATCATGTGGGTGCTGGGAATTGAACCCAGATCCTCCGGAAGAGCAGCCAGTGTACTTAGCCTCTGAGTCACCTCTCCAGCCCTCTTGAGCGTTTTGTTGTACAGTGAAATACATAATTACCTTATGATCCAATAATTCCATTCCTAGGTATTTATTCAAGAGAACGCAACCTATGCCCACATAGACCTTCATACATGAGTGCTCAAAGCAGTTTCATTCATAACAGCTCCAAATGGGAAACAGCTCAAGTGTCCATCAAGGTGAGTAGATAAAACAGATTGTGGTTTGTCTGGTTACTGGCATATGACTCAGCAGTGAAAAGGGAGTGGAGCCGACGGCTCCATCCAACAGTGTGGATGAGCTGCTGTTAGCTGTTTGTTTGAAGGAGGAAGCCAGATGCAGGGACTGTGTGGTATGTGTCAATCAGAGACCAATCAGGAGCCTGGAATCACGTAGTCACTGGAACCATGATTGTTGATGTCTCAGAGCTATGAAGAGTAACAGGAGCCAGGCAATGGTGCTGCACACCTTTGATCCCAGCACTTGGGAGACAGAGGCAAGTGGATCTCTTGAATTCAAAGCACATATCTGTGATCCCTGCACTTGGGAGGCTCAGGCTGTAAGACCAACATAGCAAGACTCTGTCTCAGGAAAACCAATACAAAACAAAACAAACAGGCTGGCAAGATGTTTCAGTGTAGCCAGTCATTGGCTACTTTGTGAGTTCTTTCTTCCGCTCTGCTTGACCTTTCAACCCCCTAATACTAAACAGGAGAGAGGAAAAAGGATACAAAGGGGGTGACTTATAGTTAAACTACTTCCTGCTGATTAGGGGCTTTGAGTTCCTTGAGGCAAATTTAATCTTCACTGTCAGGATATCTAGTTTCTTTTTGTTTTCTTCTTTGCTCACAACTACTTACCAAACAACAACCATCAGCAAACAACCTACCCTTCCTCTCAGGACCCCAGCTTTCATATACCCTCTGAAAAGTCCCCAGAATTCCAAATGTCACACAGTCACAAAAACTACCTGCTGCTGGCAAAATCACGTCCCTGCTAGAGGACGAGGCAAATCACAGTCAGTTGCTGTGGACAGTCTGAAGCAGCCCGTATCCCACACCTGGGAGTAAAAGGAAAACACATTCCCATAATGTTTCTGTATTTTTTTTTTTTTGGTTTGGTTTTTCTTTTTTTTTTTTTTTTTTTTTTTCGAGACAGGGTTTCTCTGTATAGCCCGGGCTGTCCTGGAACTCACTCTGTAGACCAGGCTGGCCTCGAACTCAGAAATCCGCCTGCCTCTGCCTCCCGAGTGCTGGGATTAAAGGCGTGCGCCACCACCGCCCGGCGGTTTGGTTTTTCGAGACAAGGTTTCTCTGTGTAGTCCTGGCTGTCCTGGAACTCACTCTGTAGACCAGGCTAGCCTCAAACTCTCGAACTCAGAAATCTGCCTGCCTCTGCCTCCCAAGTGCTGGGATTAAAGGCGTGCACCACCACCGCCTGGCTAAATAATTATTTTTAAAACATCATTTTATATTTATTTTATTTTATATGTATGAGTATGTGCCCAAGTGCTAGTCTGTATTCTTTGCTACCTGAGAGACTGAGTCAAGAAGGTAATTTAAGCCCAGTAGTTCAAGGCCAGCCTGAACAACATAGGGAGACCATTACTAAGAAATGGAAGGGAGGAAGGAGAGAGGAAATTAGGGAGGGAGAGAAAAATTAGCACATACTGAGTTCAATGAGCTGCCATTCGGCTGTAATCCCATCACTTGGGAGATAAAGACAGAAGGATAAGAAGTTCAAGGCCAGCCTTGGCTGCCTAGAACCTGTTTCAAAAACACCAAGAAGGGCCACTGAGATAGTTCAGGGGGACAGCACTTGTCAGCAAACTGGGAAACCTGAGTTCATCCCCAGAAACTACCTGGTCGAAGGAACGAACTGACACCTACAAACTTTCCTGATGGCCACACGAGGCTGTAGCATAAGCGCATCCACATGTAAACAACACGCAGTATATAAACAAGTGTCATCTAAACAAACAGAAAAAGAAATCAAAAGGAAGAACAATTAAAAAAAAAAAGATAGCAGCCCCAGGCTGCAATTAGATTTACCGGAAGTGCATATCCAGTAGGATGCCAGACAAAACCGCATACAGGGAAGTGTCTGGAGCGAGCCGGTGTTGTCAGACACATGTGGCAGGAGTCAAGCGCTGAAGAATCCTGGTGATGCCACAGATGCACCAGAGCCTGCAGGTGCATGCCACAGAGAAGCCCAAAAGCTGCCGATACAGCCCAGCCGCCTGCCACGCTCCTCCAGCGCCCCCTGCTGGAAACACACACATAACATCGTGGCACCCATCAGGAAAAAAAAGACTTTAAAAGACTTTATTAAAGGGCCGGATTTCAGTTCAATAAATGGTCCATTGACACGTTCTACAGCAGTTTGGTGCTGTGATTCTAGGAAGCCCAAGGCTAAGGCATATTCTAATCCGACTTGCACAAGAATGAAACCCTGCTTAACAACGTCAACAAAAATAAAAATTACCATCGAATTCTAGAATACTTGAGGGCTGGTGACAAGGCTCAGTGGGTAAAGGCGACCTGAATTGGATCCCCAATGAAAGAAGAGAATTGAAATTGATGTAACTATAAAAAAAAAACTTTTAAAAAGCCAAGTGTGGTGGCACATGCCTTTTTCATCCCAGCACTCCCAAGGCAGAAGCAGTTGAATCTCTGTGAGTTCAAACACAGCCTTGTTTATTTAGCAAGTTCCATGACAGCCAGAGCTACATAGTAACACACAACACACCTTAAAAAAGAAAACAATCTCGGATTTGGAGTAGGAGAACAAAGATAGATGGTTGCAAAAATAATGTTTTCTTTCGGCGCTCTGGGAATTAACTGGGTTCAGCCCACTGGCCTACACTCAGGGGTCTCATTTGTCGTTGCTGTAAGATGATGAGGCTGGGTCACCTGATGATGGCTTCTACATTGGTACGCATGTTGGGAATGTTAAAACAGCTGGCCCATCCCTGCTGTCTTCAGCACACCGCCCTCAAGGGGCCAGCTGAAATGTCAGCCGCTGACACCTGGCAGGGATGTGCTGGGACCTGCTTGCACCGGCTCAAACCAATAGACTGCCTGCATCAGTTTCCAACCTCGCAGCTCCGGGACCTCAGCTGGGCAGGGTGGTTGTGTGATTCACACCCCAGGCAGCAACCAAGGCTATAAACATTAGTCTTCCCACCCCAAACCCCCACCTAGGCGGTTGTTAACTACTTAGCAACGCTCTGGGACTCCTCAGAGGGATCGTGACTCTACGGGGGAGACAGAGACATTTTTAGACTGCCACCTGGAAAGTCCCTTGGCGGTGACACTTCTTCAGTGACAGAGGTCTTCTGACTCACGATTTATGGAGCTACATGTTAGAGAGGAAGTACCATCACAGTCCTTTTTGGAATGTACAGTCCTAAGTCCTTGCAGATGGAATGTTAGCAGCATCCCCGGTTACCATACCAACCAAAGACAACCAACCAACAAACATGCAGGCTCAGGCTCTCTTACTAGTGGCTGAGTAGCAAGCAGGCAGTATCTGATTTCCCCCACCCCAACTGGTCTCAGCCAGTGATTGACATTTAGCCTCCAGACTGTGGGAGGGAGGTACCCTGGGCATCCCCACAGAGAGGCCTGGAGTTCCTACACGCAGCTGACAGCTTTCAAGCTTGGCTTGGCCGGGTGGTGGTGACGCACGCCTTTAATCCCAGCACTTGGGAGGCAGAGGCAGGCGGATTACTGAGTTCGAGGCCAGCCTGGTCTACAGAGTGAGTTCCAGGACAGCCAGGGCTACACAGAGAAACCCTGTCTCGAAAAACCAAAAAAAAAAAAAGGGCCAATAGAGGGGATTCTCTAATTCAAGAAACTAGGGAACTCCAAGTCCACTTACAGGCTGGAGTAGCTAAAAGGTTAGAAAACAGGAAAGAGGACTAAAAGATTTCCCTTTTGGCCTGCAGTTAACCATTGCTAGGGCTAACCAGTGAGTAGTTGATCAAAAAGAATCAGTGATCCAAAAAAAATTATCTCGTGGCCAGTCATTAGGGATGGAGTAGGATGCCAGTGGGGAACTCAAGAATCTAGAAAAACCTCTGGGCATGGTGGCTCGCACCTTGAATCCCAAGACAGGGGCAGGTCGATCTCTGAGTTAAAGGCCAATCTGTTCTACATAGGGTGTCCCAGGTCAGCTAGGGCTATATAATGAGACCCTGTCACAAAAATGAAACAGAAACCACAACGCAAACAAAAAACAAGATAAACAAAAATGGTCTGAGGGACTGTATTACTTCAGTTTGGGGAATTGTTTAACCAAGATGGAGGAGATTTACAAAAATGGTATGGCTGTGGCTAACACTTGGGAGGCAGACAGGGACCCTGGGTTTAAGGGCAGCAGCCTAGACATCACAGGGAAGGGAAAGGGAGAAAGGGAAAGAAGGAGAGAGGGAAGAGCAAGAAAGACAGAGAGAAAGAGAGAGAGAGAGAGAGAGAGGAGAGAGAGAGGAGAGAGAGGAGAGAGAAAAGACAGAGGGAGGAGAGGAAAGAGTAAATATAAGAATTTGATTCCCAGGTAGTACTGAAGAGAGTGATGGGGTGGGGAGGGCTTATAGGCTTATATTTTTCAAAACCTACTTTAATAAGTGTTCTTAAACACTTTAACCTCCCAACTAGCCCAATACCCTCCAGAGGTAGTGGAAAGGAAAAGTTAATAGGGCAAAGTAGGATGAGGACCTGTTTAGAAATAGTTCTTGGGAGGCAGAGGCAGGCAGATTTCTGAGTTCGAGGCCAGCCTGGTCTACAGAGTGAATTCCAGGACAGCCAGGGCTACACAGAGAAACCCTGTCTCGAAAACCCAAAAAAATAAATAGAAATAGTTCTTTGGGGTGATTGCAGTCTTCTTTGTCAGGATATCCTCAGTTCAGTTCACAGGAATCATCAGCAGTAGCCCAACCCATTTGCAAACACCATTCACAAATAAGCAACAGCATTTCGATGGGGCTCAAATCCAAGGAAGCAACAAGAAGCCACCAGATCGCCACCAGAAGTTCTTCGGTGCAGTTCTCTCTATGAAGTCATGACAAATGAAGACCAGCAGAGTGGCAAGGTGAACCAATGCCACACAGCATCATCCACTGTCTGTCGGGTTTTATTTATATCCTTTCCAAACATCATATGTTCTCTCAAGTGTCTGCTCTAGCAAAATATCACATGCCCTTCTTCCAGGCAGCTTCCAGAAAAACATGTCTGTTCTCAGCCAAACATCCTCCCACGTGTCTGCTTCAGCAACAGCATTCTCTCATAAGACAGTTTCCAGAAAAATATCACACAGCTGAATCTCCAAAGAAACCAGAGATTTCCACTTCAGGGGCTTACTTCACAGAGACATGAGGCTACCAAGTAAGACTGGATTGTTCCTGTGGGTATAGGCACAGGGAACTCAGAGTTGGAATTCAAACAACACTAGTGTGAGGAGATACAGGGTCGAGAGTGCATGCAAGATTTACTAGTCAGCCATGGGCTTTAAGCTAGGTATGGAAAGAGTGAGGGGCAGCGGAAAGGGTGTAGGAACATAGGATTGGAGACCAAAGTCTCCAAGGAAGGGTTGTGGGTCTCCAAGACACTGGAGAAAGTGAAGGAGAAAGGGGAAATGATGGACCCTAGGCTAGAATATGGTGGGCGGTGGACTCACTGTCCCCGTGACTGAGGTCTTCAGATGAGGGCCTGGTGGAGGGTAGACGGAATGGGCTGAATCCAGCTCAGAGGAGCAAGGACACACTACTGGTTTGGAAGGCGGTTAATCGGAGACTTGCATTCCAGATAAGTTCAGGAAGAAAGTGACAAGATATATAGTAGATTCCAAGGCCCAAATGGATGGCACAAGTCTGGACAGAAATGGTTTCCCCCTCATTGACCTTTGTTGTTTGTAAAAGGTTTCACTATGTGGGACAGGCTAGACACAAATTCACAGCAATCCTCCTGCCTCTGCCTCCAGAGTGCTATCATTACAGGCAGACATGCGCTCTCCCACACCTTGCTGGGATAGGGTTAGACTTGGAGAGCGTCTTTGGCGCCAGAGGAACGGGTGTGCTCTATATCTTGTCTGCTGCCAGGCATCCTGACCCCGTCCATGACCTTGGGAGGCTGACCCACAAACCAGAGGACGCTGGCAGCGGGACATGGGAGCCCGGCCCTCACGACGGCAGAAGACAGAAGCTCCGCACGTGGCTCTGGCCGAGCTGCCCCCTGAGCTGCTGGTGCAGGTTCTGAGCCACGTGCCTCCTCGCGCGTTAGTGACCCGCTGCCGGCCGGTGTGCCGCGCCTGGCGCGACCTGGTAGATGGCCCAAGCGTATGGCTGCTGCAACTGGCCCGTGACCGCAGCGCGGAGGGCAGAGCCCTCTACACCTTGGCCCAGCGCTGCCCCACCGATGGCGATCGCCACGATGAGTTCCCACTCTGCGCTCTGGCTCGCTTCTGCCTGCGAGCGCCGCTCGGCCGCAACCTCATCTACAACTCCTGCGGAGAACGTGGGTACCGGGGGCAGGGCCTATCACCCGGAGGCGGGGCCTTCTGGCTGGTGGGAGGGGCCTGACTCTTAGAGAATGGACTTTGTAGTCTGTGAGCCCAGCTTACCCGTAGAGGGCGGAGTCTAACGCCTAGTAGGCGGGACCTAAAGCCTGGGAGACCCAGGCGGGGGGCGGGGCTTAGGAGCAGCAAGGAAAAGCAAAGCCAGCTCAGAAGGCCGTGGAGCCTCAGAAGGCGCACCCCTTTAATCCCGGCAGTTGGGAGGCAGAGGCAGGCGGATTTCTGAGTTCGAGGCCAGCCTGGTCTACAGAGTGAGTTCCAGGACAGCCAGGGCTACACAGAGAAACTCTGTCTCGAAAAAACAAAAAAACAAAACACTGAGTGCGTCACCTGAGCGGGTGGACGGGGCAAGGCAGAAGGACGGAAGATAGAAAGGTGGGATCAAGGGGGGGGGGTCTTAGGAGTCTGCGTGTGGCTGGGCAGTGATGGTGCACGCCTTTAATCCCAGCACTTGGCAGGCAGAGGCAGGTGGATTTCTGAGTTCGAGGCCAGCCTAGTCTACAGAGTGAGTTCCAGGACAGCCAAGGATATACAGAGAAACCTTGTCTTGAAAAACCAAAAAAAAAAAAGGAAAAGAAAAAAGGAGTCTGCGTCTGACAAAATTGAAAGCAGAAACAATTTGGGTGACAGGATCGGTAAGGCCAGGAATACAGGTACTTGGAAGACAGGATCAGTAAGAAGCCACCAGATTGAAATGTACTGGGGAGGAGCTGATGGGCAAACTGGGAGGCCTCTGCCCCTGGAGCTGGTGGGTAAATGCTGTATACTCAGCCCCGTTCTATTCTACAGAGGGCTTCAGAGGTTGGGAAGTAGAGCACGGCGGGAACGGCTGGGCGGTGGAAAAGAATTTGACGCTGGTGCCAGGGGCTCCTTCCCAGACCTGCTTCGTGACTTCTTTTGAGTGAGTGGCCCCTGATGCCTGGGGGGGGGGGGGGCTCCAAAGACGGGGAGGGTACTACTTCAGGCCGCTAGTTCCACTTTCCCTCCCTCCATCATTCTTCATTCAGCAAATATTTTATATCATTTTTTTAAATTATGTGTATGTGTGCAGAGGTGAGCTTTGCTTGTGAGTACAGGTGCCCAAAGAGACCAGAAGAAGGTGTTAGCCCCCCTGACACCTTGCTTGCGCTCTGGGCTTTTTATGTGACTACTGGGGATGGAATTCAGGGCTTCATGCAAGGCAAGCATTTTACTTACTGAGCCATCTCCCTAAGCCCTGATCTCCAGCATGCTGGGATTCCAGGTATGTGCCACCACATCACACCTGACGCTGGTCACTGTTTATTTGGTGCTGGTGGTCTCTGTGTCACTAGGGATGAGATCGAGGTCTTCAGGAATGATAGGCATGGAATCATGCCCCTACTGTTGTAATCTGCTAAATCTATCACCATGGGTATTTTTCTTTCCTCAACTTATAACGAGAAACTAAAGCATAGGAGATAGCTAATATCTAAAATAAAGTGGCTGGGAATAGTAGCATAAGCCTTTAATTCCAGCATTCTCACGGCAGAGGCAGGCAGATCTCTGTGAGTCTGAGGCCAGCTTGAGCTACATAACAAGTTCCAGGTCAGTCAGAACCACATAGCGAGATCCTGTCTCAAAATAAATAAATATATACAAATAAAAAGGTAAATGGTAGAGTTGGGATCTGAACCCAGAGAATATGGCTCCAAATTCTTTGATTTTTTTTCCCCTCCTGAGACAGAGTCTCATATAGGCCAGGTTGACTTCTAACTCGTTATGTAGGTGAGACTGGCCTTGAACTCCTGATCCTCCTGCCTCCACTTCCCAAAGACTGACAGTACAGGCTGGTGCTACCATGTCCATTTTCTCTAGCATTTATGCATACTTAGGCTGGTCCTGACACAGCTCACTTCCATTGACAAACATCTACGTTCTCTTTTGGAATCCCAGAATCTTAAGAGGCCCCAGAATTCCCTGCTCAGCTGCCTAGTGTGTGGGGCCCACCAAGGAGGAGACTAGCGTGAAGATCAGCCTCCTGCGGGCAGAGCAGGGTGAAAATGGGAGTGGATGTAAGCGATGCACCATCCACCTTCTTACCCTGAAGAGCAAGCCGAGTGGTGACTTTAAGCTCAGTGATCAGGAGAGACTTCGGGAAGTAGTTTTAGGACCCTGTCTCAGCCCCAGCCTCTCCCTCCCAGGTGGTGCTTCAAGAGGCAGCTTGTAGACCTGGTGAAGGAAGGAATGTGGCAGGAGCTGCTGGATAGTGCCCAGATTGAAATCTGCATAGCTGACTGGTGAGTGAAGACCGACAGGGCCGGTAGCCACAGCGGTGGTAGTAGCTAGAGTGGGCTACAAGGTTAACTCAGTCTCGCCCCCATCAGCTCCACTGGGCTCCCCTTTCTCGGGAAGTACTTACAGCAGCAGAACTAGGAGAGGGGAGGAACCCCGTTTAGTCCCGAGAGCCCCTCCCTGTATTCTCCCTCTACCTCTTCCCACGCGGGCAGGCATCATGCACACAAACCCACTGACGGGCTCCATGCGATCGTTCCACTCAGAGCCAACCCTAAAGTCTTGTGGATTGTCAAGGCTTCTGACGAGTTGGCAACACTGGCCCAAAGAACTGACGCTGCTCACAGAGGGTGATGGAGAAGCCTGGCTAGAGGCACCAGAGCCTCCTGAAAAGCTTTCGCTCTCTTCTCCTGGGCTCTGGTTCCTTCTTCAGGTTAACACGTTCCTGCCTCGGCGTGGCTCCTTTCTAGAACACCATATTTCCACTTTCCTGTAATAACAAAGTCTTCTAGGCTCTTTTCTCAGGGTTGGCTCCGCCCTCATGATTTAGCTCCGCCCCAGCACTCAGCCTCGATGCTCCCAAGTGGACAGTCCTTGGTTCAGGTGCAGGAAAGCGCAACCCTCAGCCTCCCTCCTGCCAACCCAGACAGCTGGCTGGGTGGCAGGGACCTGAAGTCGCACCATCACCTTACAGGTGGGGCGCCCGTGAGAACTGCGGCTGCGTTTACCGGCTTCGGGTCCGCCTACTGGATGAATATGAAAATGAAGTGGTCAAGTTCTCTGCCTCACCCAACCCAGTCCTTCAGTGGACCGAGAGGAGCTGGCGACAAGTGAGTCCAGACTGGCCGTCCCCTCAGCCCCTGGGCCACTCCATGGTGCCTGCATATAACAGTCACCCTGCTGATTTCCGGTTTCGTTGACGGGATCTGTGCCCTTACACTACGTCTAGACTCTGCTCCAAGATGTTTAATGATTAACCAATCAGTTTTATTAGAGCAACGGCCCAGTCATGCAGTATTTATTAACACCTACTATGTTCAAGGCGTCCTTAAAGGTGCTGTAATGGCTGAACTTGGCCTGTTACTATCCCAGAGTTGAGCAGTTGAGGCACAGAAATCCTGAGTGGCCTTCGATCCCACAAAAGCCAGGCCTGACTGTGCACATTTCAGATCACAGCACTTAGGAGACTGACGTGGGAGGGTCAGGAGTTCAAGGCCAGCCTGAACTACCTGAAACCCTGTTTCTATAATAAGTGGTGGTTCAGGCCTTTTAATTCCAGCACTTGAGAGGCAGAGGCAGGTGGATCTTTGTGAGTCTGAGGCCAGCCTGGGCTACATAGAACCTCTCTCAATCAACAGTAACGAATGAAGATAAACCCGGGGAAGGGCGCCACAATTTTGGCTCATCATGTTCCCTAAAGCCCCACACTGTCTCCTTACCTACCCGAGCCCACCCCTCCTCTCTCCTCAGTCTGCTGCAGGCACTCCTCCCTCAGGGCCTTTGCACTGTTTAGCATCTGCAAGGCTTTCTCCAGAGCCTCACATCGCTCCCAGGCCTTCTGATCCAACATCACCCGGAGAGGCGTGAGGCGTTTCCTTGCTCATTTTCACACTTACCTGCCTTCCTCCTGGAGAATGCCCACTGCCCTCATGCACCCCAGGTCTTCAGCACCGAGCCCCCCATTTCGCTGCTGACCTCACTGCTGTGCCCCAGCACCTAGAGTATGGCCGGGTGCCATCTGGGTGCTCAGGGAGTCTGCTAGGATGGAGGAAGAGGGGTCCGCCAGCCTTGCTCTGTCCCTCTCGTGTCCCACAGGTCTCTCACGTGTTCTCTGACTTTGGCAAGGGCATCCGGTATGTGTCTTTTGAGCAGTATGGAAGAGACACTCGTTCCTGGGTGGGACACTATGGTGCCCTTGTGACCCACTCCAGTGTGCGGGTCAGGATCCGTCTGTCCTAGCTTACCAGCCTGATTGGGACTTCCAGGACACACTGCCTTCTCCTGGATGGTGTGAAAACCGAAAGTGGCTTTGCAGTCCCCAGCTGATGGGTATCTGGGGAGAAGAGGTGCTCCGGTGTGGCCCTCCTGCTGTGACAAACCAGGGACTACCAGCTTGTTCATAGCTTCTGTCTCTCAAGCAGGGACTACCATCATGTGACGCAGACATCTCTAGGTTGCTAAGCCTGAGAACTACTTCATGTATGGATCCCAGTGGGTAAATTGTCAAAAAATAGCAGGCCAAGCGGGACCTGAGAGCACACACTTCTAGTCCCAGCATCTAGGTAAATGCAGGAGGATTGGGGGTTCAAAGTCGTCATCAGTGGTATATGGACTTCAAGGCCAGCCTGAGCTACGTGAGACCTTGCCCCCCCAAGAAAAAAGAAACAAAGAAAAAAAATCCAATAGACCCAGCTCAGAATTATAACAAAAGGAGAAAAGAAGACAGTGGGACTCGAGTAGCCAACGGCCTGTGAGCATCGTGCCTAAGTTTTATTGTGACTACTGTGATCCGTGTCTTACCCATGATTCCCCGTCTGTGAGGAAGACACACTGCAGTGCTCGGAAACACAAAGAGAATGTGAAAGACTATTACCAGAAATGGATGGAAGAGCAGGCCCAGAGCCTGACTGACAAAACACGGCTGCATTTCAATAAGGAAAGATCCCTATGGCTCTGTTCTCTGCTCCTCTGCCTGCAGGGGCCATGATCCCACCTCCCCCAAGTCTCCCGGGTCCTCCTCGGCCTGGCATGAGGCCGGCACCCGACATGGGAGGCCCTCCCATGATGCCAGTGATGGGCCCCCTCCTCCTGGGATGATGCCTGTGGGACCAGCTCCTGGAATGAGACCACCCATGGGAGACCACATGCCCATGATGCCCAGGCCTCCAGTGATGAGACTCCCCGCCCGCCCTATGATGGTGCCCACGCGGCCCGGCATGACCCTGCCAGATAAGAGCAGAAGCGCTCGTTACCGGTTTGTATTTCTTGTTCTGTTTCACCAGGAGATCTTGGTACTGAGCCTGAGTGTTTACTAGATGCATAGCAAGGAACTTCCTTCCTAACAGAGAGAACACTTGGAGGGAGAAGTGATACAAAAGGGGGCAGTTTTCACTTATATTGTGAAGCGTGAAAATAAAATGGTCAGCTGTTTTAGTTAAAAAAAAGAAGAAGAAGACAGTGACTTTTAAAAAAAATTTTGTGGGGCTGGAGAGATGGCTCAGGGGTTAAGAGCACTGGTTGATCTTCCAGAGGTCCTGAGTTCAATTCCCAGCAACCACATGGTGGCTCACAACCATCTATAGTGAGATCTGGTGCCCTCTTCTGGCCTGCAGGCATACATGTAGTCAGAATGCTATATACAAAATAAATAAATAAATCTAAAAAAAAAAAATTTGTGTGTCTGTGTATGGATATGTGCATTTTAGTGCAGGAGTCGGAAGAGAGAGAGCTGAAGTTACAGGTGATTGTGAGCCATCTGACATGAGTGCTGGGAATTGAACTTGGGTCCTCTAAGCGAGCAGCACTCACCATGACTATTGGCTTGTGTAGACCAGAGGTTCTCAACCTTCCTAATGCTGTGACCCTTTAATACAGGTCCTCATGCTATCATGACCCCAACCATAAAAGTATTTTCATTGCTACTTCATAACTATAATTTTGCTAGTTTTGAATCATAATTTAAATATGTCTTCCAATGGTCTTTCTTAGGCAACACCTGTGAAAGGGTCCTTCAACTCCCAAAGGGCTTGACACTCACAGGTTGAGAACCACTGGTGTAGACAAACACGTCCCAGCACATATGGGGGTTGGGGAGTCAGAGCACAACTTGCAGAAGGTTTTCCTTTACCATGTGGAACCAGGGGATCAGATTCAGGTCACCAGGCTTGCTATCAGCCATCTTTACTCACTAAGCCACGCCAGCCCTGGAGAGTGACTCTCATCTGCATATTTTGGGGATGGCTTGATTGTCAGCAGGGAAGAGTGGACACTGGGACATTTGCATTACAGATCCAGCTGTGGGCCCCTATCCACCTGGGGACAGGACTGTGTCTGTCTGTCTGTCTGTCTGTACTCCCTGCAGCACCTCACCTTCGCCTGGCTGGCAGCACGTCTCATCAGTTCCACAGAGGCTCCTTGCTTCCTGCCAGTTAACATCCTTTCTCCTGCCCTCCACCCCCCATAGAGATGCCCGGCACTGGACAGGCTGTGGGGGAGCCACCCTAATGCCTATTCTAAATCCTTCCAATCTGCCCAATAAAACGGTGCTCACGGGGCTGGCAGATGGCTCAGAGATTAGGAACACAAACTTAGGACCCAAGTTTGGTTTCCGGCACCCACATCAGACGGTTCACAACCGAATCCTGGGGGGATCCAGAATCTACACCCTCCAAGGGCGCCTGCTCTCACATGTACATGCCAACCTCCCAAACAAAAGAAACCGACTCACATATAAATAAGCACCGGGCTCATGTAGCACACGGGTAACAGCCTTCAGCACCTAGAACAGTTCTATCAGGGAGAGGGACCCGAGGCACACAGGTTGGCATTTGCCACCACACCTGGGGACCAACACTGCACACTGGGTGACATCACAACCTGAAGATATGTTTATTACAACCCCCATCCATGAGGTCAACCTGCAGACGCTGAACATGGAAGCCAAGAGAGTGCACACAGGAATCCTTCCTTCCAATTCATGTCCAGATCAGGTTAATAGCAGTCTTGCTGAGTCAGAGTAAGATTTGAGCCCAAGACTAGCTGCCCCTGGAGCAGGACATACCAGTTTCCAAGGATCCAGCACCAGACCTGCTGTGAATTGGTCATTTCTTCTTCTGCACGTGGCCACAGTCATACTTGCCCCTCACAACTTTGAGTTTAACCCCAGGCAGGTCCTGTGTGCGACCGCCCTCCACGAGGACCACGTGGTGCTCCTGCAGGGTGTGGCCCTCCCCGGGGATGAAGCAGACAGCTTCTTTGCCATTGCTGAGGCGCACGCGGCAGCACTTGCGGTTGGCTGAGTTGGGCTTCTTCGGCTTCCTGATGAATGTGCGTAACACCACACCCTTCATCTGGGGCCGGCCCTCTGTGGGGCCCAGACGCTTAGGGGGTTCCTTCGGGCGGCCCAAGCGGTGCATCTGGTTCAGGGTGGCCATGGAACGGGTGGCCCAGAGCTGGGGAGCTAGGGCTAGGCCTGGAGAGACACAAGAGAGTCTACTAGGTTTCCATATTCTCGAGAGGGATCCAAGCCCTTTACAAGGTCATGTCCGCTTATGTCTAAAGGTATTCAGTGGGGACGGACAGACGGCTCAGTGGTTAGAAGCACTTGTTGCTCTTGCAAAGGATCATTTGATTCCCAGCACCCACAGTGGTGGCTCACAACTCTAGTTCCATAGGATCTGACACATGCGTGAGTTGCACTAACATACCCACGTACATTCATACGGGGGCTGGAAAGATGCCTGAGTGGTTAAGAGCAGTGGTTGCTCTTACAGAGGATCCAGGTTCAATTCTCAGCCCCACATGGTGGCTGGCAACAATCTTTAACTACAGCTCTAGGGACCGGATGCCTCTTCTGGCCTCCAAAGGCACTGTAGATCGTTGGTGCACATATTCACGCAGGGAAGACACTCATGTATTCTTTAGGAATAATACAACAGCTAACCTTTATTAGTATACCCATAACTGTAATGTTCTTACAGGTTTTAAACCTTTTATATAAACCGAGCATGCTGGCAAGGCCAAGCTTTCTCGAAGACCCCACCCCCTACCCAACCTGCCATGGCTTCCCATTCCCCACTGGTTCCTTGTTCAGACTGCACCGGCCTAGGTGCACCAAAACAAACAAGCAAACAGCAGGGACCCTGGTGGTTGCAGTGTGATCTAAGGAAAGGCAGGCGCACACACTGGAGGAGATGTTTTCAAGGCAGTCCTTAATTTTTGGCGCTGAAGAGGTGGTTCCATGGTTAAGAGCACTGGGTGCTCTTACAGAGGACCCACGTGACAACTCACGATCGTCTGGAGTCCCAGTTCCCAGGGATCAGAAGCCGTTCACAAGTGTGATGCACGGACATATACAGGCAAAACACTTATATATACAAAATTGATTTTTTTAAAAACAGGGTCTCACTATGTAGCTCTGCCTGCCCTGAAACTCTATATGTAGAGCAGGTTGTTCAGTAAAATACCCATGTGAATGAAATACTCAACGCCTCGCTCACGACACCGTGCACAGACCTGACATTTGGGCAATGTCTAAGAACATAAAAGTTCCTCTCCAGTAGGTGGCACGTCTTAGAATTAGAAAACCAGAACTTGAATGAATGACTAAACTTCCTAGTTTGGATTTCCCACCCTTAGGTCACCAATAAATACCCGCTAAAGGAATGAACACAACTGAGAGACACCTAACCAGGAAGACACGCCGAGCAACAAATATTTGTTGGTATGGTTGTTACAAGAACACAGAGAGTGTACTTACATAAACTAAGACAGACTATCACTAGGCAGTACAGTCTCGGGATTACCCGCTATATACGCAGGGGACGCAGGGGAGCCATGACAATGACTGACTTAAACTCTGCTGGACACGGGCTTTCCACCTCTTGCCCCTGGAGCCGGGGAGCGTGGTAGAAAACGCCTGTAACACCAGGACTTGGGAGGTTGAAGCTGCAGTCAGGAGTTCAAGGCCATCCTGTCTACAATGTGATTTGGAAGCGAGCCTGGCCTACAGTGAAAACCTGTCTCCAAAACAAAAACGGCACCGTGCTTAAAGCTGACACCATCCGAAATCTGGCAAAACCACAAGTGCCAGTGAGTTGTCCTCGTCCATCCTCGTCCCTGTGGCTCATGCTCACTTACCACGACTGAGGGACGTGGTGAGGCCATGGAGAAGGCCGGGCCAGGACATCTCGCCGCCTGCTGCGTCCCTGTGTTAGGAGATAAGACACTCAGAAAGTAGGATGGGACCAGAATCCCACTCTCAGAGCCTTCTGGAATCTCCTCTAAAACTCTAAAACAGAAAGTCCTCTCGCAAATCCAGTCTCACTCGGAGTAGGCCCCCAAGAACCCGATCGCCCTCGCCCGGATACTGGAAGGAGAAACTGAAGACAGATGAGAGTAATGTCTGGATCCCAGGTAATTGCACCCACCTCTCCAACCTAGCGGGGTCGTACACACGCCAACTCCTATCTCCAGCCCCTTCCGGGATTTCTCTTTCGTGATTGGCTCCATCTTAACTGCGTCATCGAGGGGGCGGGATAAGGATGATGATTGGACAATGACAGAGTCTATAATGCGTCCACTTCTCCTCATTGGAAGGGTTTCTGAAGCCTGGGCGGGAAATCCCCTTGCGCCTCTGATTGGCTCGCCTATGGTGAGTGACTTCTTGTTTCCAGTCCAAGATGGCTGCGTCCATGGCACGGCTCTTGTGGCCTTTCCTGACTCGCCAGGGGCTCCGGTCCCCAGGACGCTGCGTGTGCAACCAGAACCCAAGGAGGAGTTTCACTACAGAAAAACGAGTCCGAAACCTCCTGTACGAACACGCACGTGAGGGCTACAGCGAGCTGCCTTACGTGGACATGGAGTCGGTGTGCGCATGCCCAGAAAAAGCCGCGCGCTCCCTGGAGCTCCGCAAGGGGGAGCTGCGGCCGGCCGACCTGCCTGCGATTGTGAGTGCGCTTGCGCCCTGCGGGAGCGGGCTGCTTTCTAGAACTGGGTTTGCCAGATGCATTCCAGTTGTGGGGGAAAACTACTCAGCAGGAATTTGGGTTCCTTCCCAAGTTAGGCAATGTCTTGTGCAGGACACCCACTTATGTGCCAGTGACTAGGGAGAACTAAGGCCCTATTGAACGTCGTGGATGCCTTCTGTGACCTGCACGCCCTTTTGCATGCGTTTCATAATTGGACAGTTGGTATCTACTGTACTCCCGAAACTTAAATACCATTGTCTTCTGTACTCGAACTATATGCCAGGCTCACCCTAAGGCCACAAAGAAAAATGAGGAGGGAGGTGTGAATCCGGGAGATTCTTGGAGATAGAGGGTTTTGCATCCTGCTATAAACAGCGAGCTGATAGAATTGAATGGATAAATACCTGCGAAACAGATATTTAAAATATATCTGTTCATCTACTGACGATCCAGTTGTTGAGACTATGTGCCATAATTCTACCTTATAGGGAACTGAAATTGGGGGTCACCATGTGGGTAGTG